CTAGAAGGTGACCAATGGAATGTGCAAGCAGAGATTAGAATGAATTTTTGACGTGTGCTTTCATTTCATAAACTCCTGTCTCTGTTGATGCAAGTTTGTCATTTGTCATGTGTTTTTTTTTTTCAAAGGCAGTTTTGTCTTATCTGATGTTGAAACTCTTCCATGAAGCTTTGAACGCTGAGGCATAAGAAAGAGAAATCAGTTGGAAATTTGTTCATGTCTATCTCTGTGCTTGACATTTCTCCACTGATAAGGTACAGCTAAATATTGACTTTTTAGTTAAGTTCAGATTAGTTGTCTGGTCCATGAGCATTGATTGTAAACCATTATCTTTTCCTCATTTATGGGCCCCAGTGCTTTAACAGAAAAAAAAGAAGACAGAAAGAGAAAAAAAGAAAGACATAAGAGAAAATGAAATGGAATGAAAAACTCTGTGTAATTGTCTGTAAAGTTGTCATTAAATTCTGCTAGGAAAAAATAGAAATGCTCTTGATGTTTACTTTTTTAAAAATCCTTTTTTCACTTTAAGAGTCACCCTGCTCAAGTAATTTTGACCCATTTGAGGAAAATGTCAAACCAAGATTGCCACCAGGACACAAAATTGAGAAAGATATAAAAGATTCTTCTACCATTAATTAACTAAATGCAAAACCTGGCATTAAATAAGCACTATTAAAGGTACTGCTCTATAGGGGAACAGTGGTACTGCAAATTCCATTCCATTATTGCAGCACCCTGTCCCAATCCAGTAGAATACTTTGGGTATGTCAAAAAAAGAGAAGAGAGCAGGATGATGTAACTATTTTAATTTTTGAACCGCCTTTGACCAAGTTCCTCCCAAGAGCTTCTAGAGGAAACTGAGATCATGCAGTATAAGGCAAAATATGTTTATAGATAAGAAATTGTCTAGGAGAAAAAAACCAAATTGGATGAGCAAGTAGAAAAATTTCAGTTTGGCAAAAGTTGATCAGTGCGGACCTCTGTGTTTCTGCTCCAGAGGGGTGGCAGAGAGAGGACATGGCAAAAGAGTTCACTACTTCAACTGCCATGGACTTCTCTTTGGATTTTGCAGCCAGTTGAAAGAGATTAGGGTTACACACATGTGGATTTATCCTGAAGAAGATATTGCACACTCACTTCACACCATTCAGTTACTCCCGTCTAATTTCCAAGTCGAGACAAGTATTTAACTTCACTGGGGCTGAAGCTGGAACAACACTCTGGCTGCCCTGAGCAGGTGAGATGCCTGCTACCCTCAGGTGCCAGGAGAAGGAAAGGGGTGATAGAGAGATGTCTGGATCAGGGAGGCAGTTAGCATTAATGTTGACAAAATCTGTGTCTTTTCCTCCAAGACAATAATCAGACCTGATCTGAGCTAATAGTATCAGCTAACTAGAACATGCATACTGGCTTGTATAACTTGAACTCTGATGGGCAGTGCAGACAAGGAGTTAAGTTTAAAATTTTTGGTCAGCATATGGTATCTCTGTGTGACCTTAAATCACTAAAGGAGATTGTGGTAGGAGAAAAGAAGCTGCCCTCAGTAGGGCAGAACTAGCTGATGCCTGGATCAAATGTAAAGGGGAAAAAGCTTCTCTGACACTCAGTAGACACCATAGGTTTAAGAGTACATTTAGGGATCCTTTCTGCTGTGAACTATACCAACACTGCCCAGTCTGGAATCAGGAACTCCATGTGTTTTCCTGTGTTCCTCTTCTTCACTGTGCCTGGGTACACAGTTCCCATTTCAGATCCTGTGAGTGAGTACATTGCAACAATGTAAAACAAATTAAATCCTTTACATGGCTTATTTACAATTTCAAATAGTACCACCTGCTAAAAGAGGACTCATCTAGATGCCTGATTTTCTCTTGGGAGTTTTGGTTCAGAGCAGTAAAGCGAAGGGAAGCTCAGAATTACAACATTAAAGGCTTAATTGCATCATTTGGTACAGCAGAGCATAGTGGAGACCCTCATACTTCCACCTTAAGCATAAGGAAAAATCTGTCATGGGAGTATATAGCTTGGATATGGTACAGTAAGTGTTGTCATAAATATCTCATGTGACATAACATGCAAACAAAATGAAAATACAAAAAACAGGTGTCTGTATTTGCATCTTATTTAAGGACTTTTTTCTTTAGATTTTCTTAATTGTTAGCACACAGAAAAAGCTTGTAATATTTCAGTTTTAGTGACTGCCTTTTCTATTACTATAGCATGAAGCATGAATGTCAGCAAAAATTCCCAAAACTTAAAAAATAACTGATTCTCTAAAATCCTTTCTCCTCTTTAAAACCAAATGTCACACCTATGCCAAGTTTCATATTGATGCATATGTAAATCTAAATTATAAATCCTCAGAAATATATTCACAACTGCAATGCTGATAGGCTCTTAACTTGCACCTACAGTCCCAGAAATGAACACTGTGATCTCAATACATACCACAGGTCCTGCTGGATTTGGGTTAAACCAACCTATGGGTGGGAAACCTCAATGGAGTTTTAGGAAGCAGTATTAATGATTTAGAGTGTATTTACCCTGCAAATTTTGCTAGGGTTGCAGTACAGTTCACTGCTTTCAGAAAGCAGGAATAACATTTTAACAATGCTCTTGAAAAAGGATGCAGGACTGTCAACTTCTAACAACAATCATTCTGTGCAACTACAAATATGTAGCATACTTAGAACAAGCTGGGGACCTCTTACGACAATAGCAGCCTGTAAAACGAAGTGTTGATTCTGAGAAAGTCTTCATTTTTCTCTGAATAGTGACATTATGCAAGGCCTTTTTTAAGCACTTGGTCCTCCCCAGTACAGTGTTCATGCTTACATATGGCTGGGAATTCAGGGGCCATAGCCAGTGACTTAACATTCCAGAAAGCCTCCACAGTTCTCCCCAAATGATGAATCGTGATGGGATTTTTCAGGTCTTCTGAGCATAAAGAGGGAGATTTGTGGAAAAGGATGGTAGAATTATTAGTATGCGAGTGACTCAGTCAGCATCCTGCTTGGAAGACAATGAACTGAATGAATGTGGCATCCTCTTATCACTATGCCTGGCTGGGTCAATAATCCTGAAATTACAGCATCACCAAAGTAAGGTGAGTAAATATTGTGTGTAGATAAAATATAAAACCAAAGTAAAGTTCAAATCAACTCTACAATGTAGATCTGTGGAAGTCAAAAAGCGCTGATTCTTCTATGCATCAGAAGAAGTAAGTGTGAAGAGAACATACACAAAAACAAACAAACAAAAAAAGCTGCAAAATACACTTCCACTTTAACAGAATTGGTGTCTAATATTTTTACTTAAGTTTTTTAAAAAAAAAGACAACTGTTTTCTGATCAGAACCATCTGAAAAACTCTGCATACCACAACGTGATCCACAGTCCCTTTTGCATACCTGCTGAATCTGCTTTAAAGAGAAATTAATGGGTCTTCTGATATCTCAGGTGGAAATGCATATGCCCATATTCAGCATGTCTGCCATTCACCTGGCCATCTTCTTGATTCCTCTAGGTGTCTCCAACTTCCCTTTCTCCTCTTATTTTCCTTTTATTCTAGAGAGAAAAGGTCAGAAAATCTAGCTTAAACTTTCATTGAAACAAAATTATGTTGCTTTTTTTATCTATATTTTAAATATCTGTATTTTGCACAAATCTGAATGCAATAAACTCATAAGTGTGTTTTTAAAAATCCATTTAAAAACTACCATTTTTCAAGCACCCTATTAGTTGACTGATGTTTTCAATTACCTTTCCTCTATGACCACTAAAAGCTCAGTAAAGGGCTTGCTGATCCTAACAGACATCTTTCAAGTGGTCACAAAAAGATTTCTCAACCAAACCCTAAAGGCACTATTTTTATCAATGTTTGTCAAGTTCAGCTGAAAATATTAAAATTAAATGAGAGAACTCCAGGTCTTCAAGGCACTAACTTGAATAAATACCAGAAAATTAAACCAAATTCAGTCATGTCTCCAGCAATTCCACTCAAGCCAGTGGCATTTCAAAGGTTTCAGATAACGAGAGAATTTGTCCCAGTCAGTGTTTTGCAGGCAATTTACAACCAGAGTTCACTGACTTCAGTGAAAATTCCGCCATGATAACCATGACAGAGCTGGGAATGATTATATACAGTTAAGATATAAAGACCTAATGAAGCATGCACGAATCAGTTCAATACTTGGAATATTCTCTCAGGACTGCTGGCTAGATAATAACTTAAGTAAATTAAGAGTTATAAACAGGATTCTTCTTTGTCTTTATCTTCTAATTAAATAAGGACTAACCTACACTAGGAAAGTAGTAATCTATAAAGTTATTCAAAAGTCAATTTAAAGAATAAATAAAATTCTAGAGATGTTTTCCCACAAAAAAAGCTTGCCCTTTCGTCCTGCATTTTTCCAGTCTTAACTAGAGCAATCTTGTTCAGAAATGTGTGGAGCAGCCAACCATATATCCAGTCACTTCTCATTTATTGATGGTTAATATACTGATGTAGGTATTTCAGATTTGTCAGCAATTATTAGTGATAATTCACATTACACATACATGCACAAAATTAATACATATTGAGCAAACTTCTAATTTCTTTTCCATTTCTTTGAAGATAAAAAATTGCTGTCTGGTTTTTGGAGCATGAGAAACAGCATGGAAAATAATGTAAGGGACTATCACTCTGTCTCCAGCATGGTCTCCAAACAATTCTCTGGCAGTTAGGGAATTATTCTTAATTATGACCTGGACACTTGTAATGTTTTTGAGTTTAGGCCTTCCTTCCTGGTTACCAGGAAGGAAGGAAGGAAGGAAGTATTCCATCCTATTCCTTTCCGTAATCCAGCATATAAATAGACAGAGAAAGAAGCCTCTTTCTCTCTTCCCTTCTGGCAGAGTTTGGAGACAGCAGATTCCTGCAGGTCGGTCTCGCTCCTGTGGGGGAGCTGAGGCCTGGCTGGGCCTACGGAGCCTCTTGTTTTGGCTGATCCGGAGTCCGGCAGCGTGGCGGCAGCTTTTGGGCAATTGTGCTATCTTAAGGAAAGTAGTAAGATATTCTTTTGCTAATTCTTTAGTTTACTAGATCCTGAGTTTTTTGATTGTGTATATCTGGTTTGTTTTCATCCTTTTTTTGTCCTTTTTTCCCCCTTCCCTTTCCCTTTCCCTTTTGGGATTGTATATAGTATTTCAATTGTATATAACACTTCACCCCATTCTACCATGCAATAATCCTTAAGAACCTGGACCATCACATGTAACTGGGTCATTATCAGTTTTAGTAATGGAAATTAATCGCCTCTGGTAGAGCTGCATTGGTGGAAATTGTTGTAGAATGTTACTCAGGGTTTAACTACTGTCTTTTATCCCTAAAAGGACAAGATGCTGGGACCAGTTCAGGAGATGGATGGTAGATGTTTTCCTGTTTTCAGGTACTCACAAAGAGCTTGGCAGCTCTTTCATGTGTTAATCCTGCAGGCGGTACTAACTCAGAATTTCCAAAGAATTGCCATCACAGTGAGATGTGGAATGATTATGCAGTTATCTAAATGGAGTGCCATCAAATGCAGGCATGTTCAGAGTATTGGAAAAAAGCCTCCGTAAGGTGCAAAACAAAATTATTGAAACAGAAGAAGCCACTGAATGCAGAAATAACTCTAATATAATTACACATTATCTAAAAGTACTGAGGCTGATGGTAATAAATACAGTCATAAGAACTGGGGTAACATTCAATCCATCACAGAATTCCAAAAACAACAGTTAGAAAGAAACAAGAATCATAACAGATAAGGAAGAGAACAAACAGAACAAAGTGCTGCTAATCCTTATTAGGGTAAAAAAAAGTCCAGTCTTTTATGATCTCACTGCTAGACACTCCTTTCAAGGAAAATTACATGGTTTATGTCTGATTTTTTTTCCATATTTTGCATGATCAGTATTGCAGCCTTCCAATCTCTCCATTCTCCGCTTCCTGCCTTCTGTTTATGTGATGATTAAGGACAATCTAAGGAGCAGAGATTTCCAATGTGGCAGTCCCAGATGAGGAACTGGAGGATTGTAAAGCTAGTCATCCAAAGAGTAAAATGGCTCCCTCACACTTATTCACTGTGCTGTAGGCTATAGACAGCCCATGGCAGAGCTGTGTACATGGCCTATGTTGCAAAGAGAGTGCAGACTGGAGCCAGAACTTACAGTTACCCGGAAATTTTAACCAAGTTGTATACAATCAAAAGAAAAGAACAGGGAATCATGCATGGCATCACCAGTTGAACCTTCTGTGTTTGTGACCCTTTACTATATTGTCACCATTATCCATGCCCACATCATTCCATGTAATTGTTCAAGACTGTGTTTATAATCACAATGACATTTCACCCTTCCATCAGGACAGATGGGCTGCTGATTCCTGCAGCACTCCAATGACTGCTGTAATCCATAAACAGAGACCTAAGAAGTACTGGCAGAGAAAAAATGAGCTGCAGGCAGAAAGCTCAGCACCAATGTAAGCCATTTGAAAAGCCATTTGACGAACTACATAGGCCTAGACCATTTACCTCTGCTGGTTTTGGGAACAGCTCTGAAAGATGCCCTAATCTGCTTTCAGCTCTAATGGTCCAAGGAATGACAGTGACAGATAGGAATAACAAGAGAACAGGTGCGGTAGTAGGGATGATTGAAATCTCTCATCCATAATGTTGGTTTTAATCAGATTAAAAAAAGAGAAAAGTTCAAAGAAAGCAAGTTCTATTTTGCAACAATCCCATGAACTCTCAGAAAACTATCAGTCAGCAAATTTCTTACCAAGTTAGCATGTTTTTGAAAATTAAAAGAAAAGGTGTAAGTTCATGAGAGTACCAGCTTTGTGAGTGCCTTGCTTTCATACTTGCTCGACATTATCTTTTCCTGCCTTTCCAAGGACTTTGCAATGTGTACATATCCGAATTCGTGAGTAAACATTTGCTGTTTCAAAAATTTCTAGTTAAATTGAAAATAAGTTTGTGCTACCAAGTAGGGACTTTTGGTTATAACTTCTCATTTTCTACCAATGGCTGCTTTAAAGAAAACCAGGCATGTTTCTGAGCTTAATGATCCTACTTTTTCCCTGGAATGAAACCGAAAGTAAAGCTCTAATCCTTGTCACTTAACTGACAGATGGCTATCATTTTAGATAAATGCAAAAAACTTCTCTGAAAAGCAGATCTCTACATAGTTATGTCAACTATGTTTGCAGGGTCCCTTTACCTCCAACATTTTGTGTCTGATAGCAGCTTCCTATCTCTCAAAACCAAAACTATGTTGGTCAGAACTTTCAAGGCTGAAAATTTTCCTTTCTTTTTTCACTTGCAATCAACTGGATAAACAGTTGTTTTGTAATTGTCACATGAAAGTAAAGCCATTTATGCAACTTTTTCATTACTAATTTGGATTTAAAATATTTTGATAACTTTCTAGAAAAAAATTTGATTAAGCCACTTGTGAGAGAATCATGGACATCTGCTGGTCTTTATCTGAGACAAATTCATCATCAGAGTAAATTCACAGAACAGTTACAGTGGCACTGCAGCCGGTGGCACACTTTGTCCTGTAAGTTCAGTTCCTTCTTCTTCATGTCCTTCTTTAGAGGTTTGTCCTTTCAAATTAAAAGAAAAGAAAATAATATTCATTGCAAAACTTTGTTTAAAGAATTAATTAAACATAGAGTAACTGAGTATTAATAATAAATGCTAAATAAAAGAACCCTTTTTTTTCCAGCTGTGTGGTGCCAGAGAACAGTTACAACAAGATATTTCTGCCCTGGTCTGTTCCTCCCAAATGACTTCAGAGCTGATTTTTTCATGGTTATTCTTTTTCTGTTCTTCATTATTATTTTTTTAGTATGGGTCTTCCCCTTTCTTTCTTTTACAAATCCATGAGCGAAAAACATGTCTTTTCCTTAAAAGACATTTGTCTCTTTTTTAAAGCAAATTACAGCAAAAGGATCTCCATTATCTGAACTGAAAAAGGTCTAGGATACCACAGGTAATGGAAATATGTAGGAAACCACAGATCCAGCATAAGTGTAATTTTGCCAGTGCTGACACAGAACTCATAAGCTTATCCTGACCAAGTTGAGAGCTCATACAATCCACATCAAAAATGCCCCTGTGCTGTGGCTTGCTGGGACCAGGTCCTTAAGGTATCTATGTGTTTGGATGGAGAAATAGTTATCAGAAAACATCGCCCCAACAATAGAAAAAGCATATGCTGAGAAGTAAAGCATGGAAATCTTCTAAAGACTGGAACTCCTGCTGAATATGCAACATGGTCCCTGCTCAAAGAGGGGCTGGGGCACACCGCTTGATCTGTGCTGGCTCTGTGTCCTCACTCAGGGCTGCACAGGAAACCACAATTCCCTCTCACAGTGTGAGAAGATGTGGAAGCAGGTCAGTAATGGCCAGTATGAGGTTTAGAAGGTCTGATACTGAAGGGGAAAGCACTAAATGGCTTTGTCTCTACTCAGTGTTTTCAGATCCTTGATTCTTCACAAAGGTACCTCAGATCTACCAGGATGAAAAGTCTGGCCTTGTTCTGGGTGCAGAACCAACAGTACTGTCCTAGGACCTAACCTGGGCATGGGAGAGAACATCCTCCTCAACATAGCTCTGTGCCTGAGCTAAGTTTCAAGGCAAGACACTCTCCAAAATTCTCGGCAGTGGGCAAAAGAAATGAGTTGTATAAACCAGTAGTCTTTTCAAGAATGCGTCAGTGGTATATGCTTTGCTAAGTGCATCAAGGATTGCTATGTATTTTTATTAATTCATTATGGTTGATCTAGTTACATAAACAGGAAATGGCAATAGATTAGCTCCTGGAGAGTGTTTCATATGGGATTACATTTAATGCTGAAATTCCTGTCAAACTCTTAACTTTCAAAATACTGATAACACAGTACATACTGTGCACTTTTTTAAACACTTGAGCAATGCATTCCCTGCAACACACTCAGAGCCCTAATAATCAAGATTGCATTTAGAGAAGCTTAATTTTCATTCTATTAATCTCTCCAGTGGTAAGAGTAATTATTCAGTATTCACTGAGAAGCAATCCCATAACATGCACAGGGTGCCAGTATGTTAGCATGGTTTGAATGACCGCATAGTGAGAAGAAATGTTTCTCTCTCACCAGCAAATTATTATGCAGGTCCTTAAAAAGACTGTGAATTGTATTTGTAAGATATGAAATTCCCTCTGCTACTCCAAATTACCTCCAAAGTGTCCTATCTTGTTTAGTATCATCTTTAAGGTCTTCCTTCCAAGACTGCCTTTCCTTTTATAACTAACTCTTTTTTTTTCACCACGCACCTTTGTCCAGCCCTACATTCTGCTAAGGAGTTTTACCATTATACTCATTTCTTATTCCTCTTACATAAAGCCTTTTTAAACAACTCCTTCTGTGTCTTGTGCAGCTCCTTCAGGTGAACAAGGCAGAAAAACAACATTTGAATAACATAGGAACCACTGAACGCTTACTGATGAGTTCTCTTTGTGTTAAAGCCATTTCTATTTCAAGGAAGTAAAGATAATTTTTTACTGTGACTTTTCTTCGAGAAAGGTGTATCTTCTAACCAATTAATATCTTCCATTGTAAAAGACGCAGAACAGTGAAAGACTAAAATAGTCTCTTAGATGACGTTGCAAATCTGTAAGTAACTAAACCTACAAACTTAACTTTGTACCTGTCAACATTATTAATCATGTCTCTTGTGTTTATTTCCTTCTTCAGACTCTTGTCACATATTTTGACTATCCTGAAAATAAAAACTATCTATAGTTTTTATTTATTTAATAACTGCAACATGAGAACAGTCTATACTGGTTTTGAGAATTTGCCCCGTGCACCTGACAGGCAAATTCCTGGATACTCAGCACTGGATGGTCACAGTTATGGTATCTAAGCTTCATATGTTAGCTGACTTCTCAAATTTACAGTGGCTGAATAAACATCCAAAGCAAAGTGCCACAGAGATCTTGTCTCTCCTTCTGCCACGTAACTTCAGTAGTCAACCATGGTGCCTGCCCCTGTCTGCATAGGCTATCTGATTGCTGTTCCTTGTTCACTCTCTTAATCCTTCTAAATCTTCTTATTTTTAATTATTGTTCAATCATTTATCTCGGTCTATCATCATTATTTATTTAAGTCTATCCTCAGCTGATCCACCTCTCTCCATATAAACTTTGACTACTCCTAATTCTTCTTCCCCACCTGCACTCTCAACTGCTTCTTCACCAGTTCCTACAATTACAAGTTTATGTGAGTTATCAAGTCCTCCAGGTCAGGCAAACATATGTTCTCATCAAACTGGAATAAATTCATGCATGCAGTATGTACCTGGGCTCTCCTCTTGATGTTTTAAGGGGCATAATGTAATGAATAAGCTTATGAATCACATTTGGAAGATGCCAGATTCTTGCTGTATAAGCATTCTTGAGGGCCTGAGGGTACTATTATGTTTGCTTCAGGGTTTATGAAGATGGTGAGGAGCCAGGTTTTGAGAGAGGAATTATTAGCTGCAACGAGCCTGCCACCTCTAGATGAATGTGAGTGATCCTGTAGGAGTCGGCACCACATGCACATGTTCTGGCTTCCTGGAATCTCCAAAGGGAGCCAGACTCAATGTCTCCCTTCCAGAACAATGCAGTCTAGGATAATATAGTGTGAAAGGAAGGCTCATGGCATGCTCTGTGGAACTGAACCACCACAGCTGTGAATATTATTTTTGACTCATACAAACACATATCATACTCAGCGTAGGTGTGTTCTCTGGCGCTGAAGGCTGCACTGTCCTCAGAGAGTGCTCAGAGTTATGTTAATCCCTTGTACTGCAACTATTATGAGGAAATATTTGTCTGTTTTAAAGAGCTATTGTGTGAACTGGAATTATTTATTTTGATCTCCAGGAAAGAAAACTATTGCCATTTTTGCATCTTTATGCTGAGAATTTCTCTTCCCCGCTGATGGGAAATACAAGTCTGGGTACTGCCCTTGGCTGTGTGCTTACCAGAGGAGATGTCAGAGAAGATGACTGCTGTCAGTAGCTCTCTCCATGCTTTACATGATCTTGCCCTATAAAAAGATTGGCTCCTGGTAATCTGCATCTCAGTGAAGTTATAGAAAAACCTCTTGACACAGTTTCCATTTACAGAAGACAACTGCCTCCTCTGTCCCTCAGGCTGGCCTGGCTACCATTCCACTTTCTCCTGAATTCCCCTGAGATTAACTCTTCGTTGTCCAGCACTCCATCATTTATCTCACTTCATCACCCCTCAGTCTGCCTCTTTCAGCTCTCTCCACATTAATTTTGACTCTTCCCTAGACCTCAAAATCATTTAGGCTTTTGCAGTGTGTGTGCAGCTGTGTTCATGGTCAGACTCAAGGTCTGTCTGAGAGCCAGTAAGGCCAGGGTGAACATTAATGTTTAAGCAATGAGGAAACCATTGAGTGTGACCTTGAATCCTAAACTAACATGACAGTATAAACACAGTCCCAGTTATTGCTCATATGCTCTCTGCCTGTCTGAACAATCTCTCTCTTTTTCTGTCAGGTTCCCCCATTCACCATCATCAAACTTTCATTGCTTCCTTCACCATTCCTCACTCTCACTGTGAGATTGGAGA